TCTTTATTGTATTCATATCGTCCCCCAATAAATTAACATCAGCATATGTCAATAGCTGATGTGTCCCATTCAATTGCAAACAATCCTGCCTATCCTGGACTTTCCTGATAGCATATTCTAGCGCAAAGTTAAAGAGCAAGGGAGACAAAGCATCTACCCTACAAAATGTTTAGATATCTTCCCAATAAAGACGGTTAATGAAGACATATTTGAGTAACGCCCAATAAAAATATCTCTGCTTAATTCGCCGGTGTCACCGTAAAGGGGTGTCAGTCCTAATAGTTCAGGAAGCAAAGAATAATTTTTGAAAAGAAAGCGTCTTCTGAGATACTGAGTCTTTTTCACAACTGACCCTAATATTTTTGACCGACATGTTATTTATAGAAATTCATACACCAAAAAGTAACAGACAAAAGGTAATAAAGTACTTCCTCTGCGAAAGGTCATAGCGATGTTTCCATAGTTATGATTAGAGGTCTAAGTTTCATTGTTTAAAACTGACGAGTAACATTTAATGTCCATATTAAAAATTATCTCATTAGCAGCCTTTCTCTTTAGCGTAACAGGGAATTAGTGTTACCTATACGATTCGGTATTGTAGCTCGGTTATTATTAAGCAGAACGATTATATACCATTCACATGCGTAGACCACCAGATTGGGAAGGATACGCCTAATCCAAAATTTAAGTGATCTAATTTTGCTAGTTTCCGTAGCCACTCCGCAAATCAATTATTTCCGTAAGAATTATATACTCTAATAATAAATCATACTTCGTCATGCTAATGTGAAAGTATGAATATTATAAATTAAAAATTTCTTGTATCTAAAATTGTAGTCGTGCGTACCTACCCTATTATATTAAATAGGCGAATTAGAATTGGAAAGTACAAATTATTAAGATCTTACTTTCCAATAACGAACTGAAATATTACATTAGTTTTTGCAGTACATATTTTCCTACTAATAAGATTATCAATGTAACGATTCTAAATATGATAAAATACCAGCTGAATCGATTATTCTTCTCCCGCTGAGATGATAAAACTGCTTACTTATGATTGCACTCTCATGAACATAAGCCTACATTCCCATTGAAGAAGAAAAGTATTGAATTTGCGAAAGGATATTGCATCACACATATTATTTGCCTCTGTGTAGAGGCCGCTCTAGGCATTGATGGAAAATGAAACAGCGATGGGTATAGGTCGCTCTATGAATTATAAAACAGTGCGGGTATACAGGTATGGTCGCCTAGCAACCAGAACAGAGATGTAAAAATGGAGACAACCGGAGAGATAAAAGATTATTATAGCAGATTCAGTTCCTTAAACCACTGTAAGATATGACTTATTTTCTGCTCAAGTTGGTAAGTCTAAAATTCTTATAACTTGAAAATGGCTGTCTTTTGGGATTTTTGTACCATGTAGTCGAGTAGATACTGCCTTCGTCAGGACGATAATGGAGGCAGCAAGCTTCTCTGAAACGTCAATCGATATCTATAAGACTACATGGTGCAACATCTTAAAAGTTAGCCATCTTCATACACAACGCCGTGAGAACCTCAAATCTCACTCTGATTATACCCATGTGTAAGTAAAGTCGTGTGCGTCGTCTGTATATTACCTTGCAAAGTTTCTTCCGTGGACTTCAGTTTAAAACATAGGAAGATGAAAAATGCGTAATTTTAGTCAGAAACTTTTAAGACACCGCTCTGTGCTCCAGATGCCACGCGGCCTGGTCGGCAGATGCCAACGTTTCGGAGGAACATACTGTCTCCATCTTCAGCCTGACCAGTATATTTAAAGAAACGTGGAGCGGGGCACGGACCGGACTCAACCGTTTCAGGAAAAGGTCCGGTGGTGGGCTCTTGCGAACACGGTAAAGAACTTCCCGGTTTCACTGAAGACGGGAATTTTCTTGACGAGCTCACAAATCAAAACGGATTCTGCTCTGTGGAGTTCCGTGAGACATACATTATGTGACGATGCTGGATAAACTGCTCAGCGTCGTAAGGTAACTGACAGAATGGTTATGGCGACAAATCAAATTTTTATGGCATATAAAGCAGCAGGAACTTGAACATTTATCAGTTCATTTTTAGAGCTAAATGTATGGAATATGGAGTGGATATGTTTAAAAATCTGCCTGCAGTTAGGAAGGCTCCTTTATTATACGTTTCTGGAAATAAGGGGGACTTCTGTTGTTGACTGCTGTTACCTTAATATGCTTTTGCACAAAGCGACGTAAAGAGGATTTCGTTGTAACTCAATGTAAGAGGAACACCAAAATACAAGTGAAGACTGCTATGTAA